GTGAGAGTGAGAGTGAGAGTGAGAGTGAGAGTGAGAGTGAGAGTGAGCGAGTGCGGCCGCAAGATACGCAACGCTAACCACATGCCAAAGAGCGACGACAGGACGGAGTCGAACTTGCGAAGAGGGAGGAGGGAGGGAAGGTGGGAGGAAGACAAGGAGACAAGGAGACAAGGAGGAGGAGAGGGGAGGTGGGGAGGGGAGGGGAAGGGGGGGAAGGGGGGGGGCTTCGACCTGAAAAATCAGGGGTTAGGATTTGCACCCGATCGAAAGAAACCTTGCTATCGCAAGAATAACTCCAGCTAGCTTCGCTAGCTTTCGTGAATTCCAGGAACATCAATCTATGCAAGCCATCACTGAAAAATATCCTCAAAAAGGTCATGGTCAGCATTCATTCCCCCAACCAAAGCATTTGGCATGTCTGTTGGTCACACACTTCGAAATCAAAGCCCCATGCCTGTGGTGATGAGGTCCAGGAGCATGTCATTCACCGTCTGCAAGTCAAGTAGAAATGCTTCGGCTAACCCCTGTGCTTCCGGAGCCAAGACGCTCAGGTCCTGTGCGACGCGCCACGTGGCGAACTTCGTTTTGGCTCGAGATGTCAAGAGCCGCTACCGGACAACGAACTTCCCAAGCAAATGAATCATTCAAAAACTGATGCGTTGTCCCCTCGTTCTTTTTGAGACCTCAGTGAACTCAGTTTTTCCTGATTAAAAAGAGAAAAGATTGTGGGGACGTTTTGTGGCTGCAATTCCAAAGTTCCTGCGTGAACCACAAGCTCTCAAAGCCCACAGAAAGGCTTCTGATTCCAAACAGCTTTCTATACATGGACGCATGACCATGGTGCGAAAATAGGATCCATGTCCACTAAAAAAGAAAAATAGGCCCGGCTGCTTCTGTCCACGTTTGATTACATTTGTCTCTTTCTTTTTTGGTCACTTTCAATGACCATCGTCCTTGCTGACATACTTGTCCAGGCTCATGTCACTGGGGGCCGTTCTCTTGTCCCCACGCAGGGTGGCCATGCGGTCAAAGGGGGGAAAGCTGATCTCCACCGGCTTCAATCTCAGAAAGGTGGGGTCTGGAACCTCAATTGCATGGCGCAGACCGAAGGTCTAGCACCACACCGACGGAACCAAACGGCTCAACACCTGCAGGAGTATGGGAAGACCCCCTCCGATCCGATGGACAAGGACTGGTGGTCGTAGCATTGGCTCTTCACCAGACGTCCCAACTTTTTGTCACGGCTGGACGTGTGATTTGATCTATCGTTCAAGATGGAAACTCAAACTAGACGGCAGGGTGGCCCGAACACAATAAGAGATGACACAAGGTGATGGTGATGATGATGATGATGATGATGATCATGATGATGATGATGATGATGATCATGATGATGATGATGATGATGATGATAAGGGCCACTAGCTCTCAGGCCCTATACCTACATTAGGTACGGGCTGGTGCGGACACCCTCCCAAGCCATGGTCATCCGGGACACCCTGTCCACCTCGGTTCTGAAGAACCTCTACAACCGGATCTACATCAGGCTACTTGGTGGACAACCTCACGGGACTGTTCCCGAGGCCGGCAACATCATCCTGGTCGCGGTTCTCCTCCTTCAGGTGATTTACTTGTTTCTCCTTTGGAACTTTGAGAACTACCAGGACACCTCTTCCGTGAGCAGAAAACGATTCAGGCCACTGAGAACAGCCTCCCAGGTCCTTGCACCTACGGGTCCCAAGTCCCCAGCCAGGGCAGGACTCCTTCTTTCTTTTGGAGGAATCACTGTGGACTACCACGTGGACTACATGACCAAGCTTAATCCTCACACCCTGCCCTGGAGGCCCGAGGGTTCCGAACCTGCCACGAGGTTCGGTGAAGCCTCCTTCAACCTCGCCAGTCAGACACTCACTACGGCGAAGCCAAGTGGGCTTGGACATGGGCCTTTTAAGGTCACCAATGGCCCAACTCCTGGGCAAGATGTTGGGGGAACTTCGATCAAGGTCAACACACACCCTGTGAGCCCACTGCTGAACCCAGCAGAAGCCTGCTACATGAACTCAATGGCTACGGGCTTTGTTTGGGGTGCAAGGGAGACTGACGGCCAGAGCGAGGACCATTCATTGGACCAACTTTCCGGGGACTTTTGCGACCATTGCAGGTGACTCACCAGGGGCGAACCACTTCTTTTGTGGGCTGATGGGCAACGGACTACCGTTTTGTCCACCTGGCAAGAACCCGTTCGTCAACATGATGTCACTGATTTTGGGGACTATCTTCACCAACAGCTCAATTCCAATTTCCTCAGTTGTTGTTGGGAATCCTGGCTTGAGCAAGATGGGGAGATCCGAATTGTGGATAAGCACGCCCTGGGGTACCCCCTTCACCTCTACATCTGCAGTGAGCAAACGTATGCCATGGTGTCCACTGGTTTGCAAGGGCATATTTCCAATTGGTGCATGGCATGTCTTGGTCTTCATGACCCTACAGAGCCGGAAGATGCATCAGGTCTTCCTACTGATCGCATTGACTCGTGGGGACGGAACGGTCGGGGTTGACCTTTGTGGGATTCTAAGGTGTGGATCCCCTCTTCCTTGGTTCCATGCTGGGCATCGGCCACACTCCCTTTGAGGTCACTGCGGACTTACATCACCTAGGCTCTGAACCAACATGTGTTCACTACTGCACTGCAGTGTATGAGGGCGGAGGATGGTGGATCTTCGATGGTGGCATGCCGCCAGTGAAGTTCGAGGTGGTTCTGCTTGTGGAGCCAGAGATCTGCATGTCTCATGGTGAGGCTGGTCCTTTCTCCCTACTGGCCGAGGAATTCTTCATTCTGTCAAGTGAGGAGGGGGTCAACCACATCATCCATGAACCAACCACGCTGAAGAATGGAACCACATGGTTTCAGGCCTTGGACCCCTTCAGTGTTGGCATCCAGGTGTTCATCCTGTACCCTGTCCTCGACTTGTCAAGAAATACATCATGTGCAGGAGCTGGCTCCGTGACTTCAACATCCGCATGGAAGTGGCCCATCGAGCTCTTCGGGATGAATCCTTCCCCTGGACGGAAAGTGTGCGGTTGACTTCTACAAGAAGACTCATCCGAAATGATGGTGCAAGCGCCAATCTTTAATGCCACAAATCTCACTGAGGACCACCCGTGTCCAGGCCTTCGCCATTTTGGCATTTTGCCTTGGCCTTGTGGCTAAGGCAGCCGTCGAGCTCTGATTTTGCTCGGCAGCTGGCCAGGCTCCAAGCTAGAAGCTGGTGGAAGCTGGCAGGCTCTTCGGAGCCCAGACGGATCACAGGATCCACGCCTTCATCACCTGATGAGCGTATGGAAAGAAAGAAAGAAGATGATGATGATGATGGTGATGATGATGATGATGATAATGATGATGATCACGATGATCACGATGGTGCTGGAGCCAAAATACAGTGGATGTGACAATCTCAAGATACACCTGTGGGGTCTGTAGTGGGCTCAAGCACAACACTCTAGCAGGGACACTCTGTAGGAAAGCTGCATCTCTGCACCTTGATGATGATGCTGCTGCTGCTTGCTGGTGGTGGGTGGGGGTGGCGGTGGCGGTGCGGTGGCGGTGGCGGTGGTGGTGGCGGTGGCGGTGGCAGTGGTGGCGGCGGTGGTGGTGGTGGCGGGGGTGGTGGTGGTTGGACGGTTACAGTTAGCAGCCGTTCTTTAGGGCGAAACGACCACCATCCTCTGCTCCTTCTTCTGTTCGGAGAAAGGCCTCAACCTTCTCTTTCCCAAGGTTTCCATGCACAGTCAAAACGTCACAGTCGACCCAAAGGCACCACGAATCTCACCTCTTTCAAGGCCTGATGAGACTTGAGAAAAAGGTGGGAAACACCACTGAAACATCTAAAACATGCTCCCGCACGTTCATCAAATATCTTTCCAACCCCCTTGACACCCCGGCCAGCTTTGTCAAGAGCACCCACCAGTAGAAGGTACTCCGAACCTGCAATGGAAGCTTTGTGTACGTCGTCCAATCCTTGGCCACGGCCGGCGTGATGGGCATGTTCCACGCAGTCGCCTTCTGCATCGTCTCATCCAGATTCCAACCACTTCCGCCGGTGATGAAGGGGACGCACTGCGACGGATTCTCCTGAGGTGAGATCATCACAAAGGAGCAAAAGCAATCGCATTGTTCATTCATTCGGGGCACTGTGGCGCTGTGGAGGTGGGGAAAGGGAGGTGGAGAAAGGGGTCTTGAGAAAGGGGTCCTGCACAGGGATCTCGCAAAGGGGAAAGCCTGCAGCTTCGCTTCGCAGGCTCCGGAGCTTTTAGCAGCTCCAGAGTCCAGAGGCTCTTTCCTGCCCTTCCACCATTGGTTTTGAGCTGTTTGGTGTCCGAAATCCCCCATTCGGATGAAACTCACACCGAGTCTCTCGACAACCAGGTGGGTACCAGAAGTAGTCGCCAAAGCACTTGCCCCTCACTCTGTGCGGAACCTCGACTTCGACACCATCCCAGTCGCCGGTGATACTTGCATAGAACTCCATGGCCTAGCACAGCCACAGTACCAAGTGCAAAAGAACAGAAGAAAATCCACCACCAAGTCTGTCTTTCAGACATGATCTAAAACACCTGGCCTGCAGTTGTACCCTCAACACACAATTCTTTTTTATTTTTCCTGCATGCACAGAGATTTCACCTGCCTAGGAGGCCATGCTGAACTTAGAAGAAGGCTTTGTCAGGTTCGTGCTGGTGGAGATATCGAATCAACATGCTAGCACTTCTTCGCCTCACAAACCTCACAAACTTTGAGTATCCAAGCGGTTGTCACCAGGTCTGTGGAGGCATGGCTTTGTAGGCACATACAGCCTTATATATTTGTACACATATATATATAGTTTTAGAGCTTATGGCCAGCTGTCCTTTCTTTGCATGAAGCTGTCCAGATTCCCAGGAAGCGGACCTCCCAATCGAAGGGGGAAAAAACACCAGTCGCCTCGGAGGCTAGGAGCCTGGTCTCATTGCAGGGCAGCAGCAAAGATCGATTGATCAACTCAAGTGGATCAAAGTACTTGGCCGGATTGGTCCAAGAGACGTTATAGCCTCGATAAAATTCCAAGATCCAACCTGGTGGCGGGACAACTGTCCAATTCTAGGCCACCTGGGAAGGATTTCAGGCCTAGAATGAACCCGGCTGGCTGCAGGATCGTCGTGGCACAAATGGTACGGCATGTCTGGGATTCGGGTCTGGCATTTCTAGCTTTCTTCCAAGCAGCGAACCCTGCAGCCTACCACTCCGTAAAGGAGTGAGGGGCGAATATCTAGCCGACCTAGCCCAATCGCCACGTGATGATGCTACATATGTTCACAAAATCTATGTATGCATTCAGAGCCGGACCATGTTGATTCCTGTTTAATCGACCATGTATATCAGAACAGGGGGCCAGGCCACTGGATGTGCTGATTTCTCTTCCCATGGACCACACTGGGGTCCCCATCTGAATACACACCCACATGGTACTGTTTCCAACTCGTGCTTCCACCTTCATCTCTGTAGGCGGCTTCTTGGATGCTGGAGGGCAAATGCATTGAGGTCCTGCCGAAATAACCTTAGCCGTTTGCATCCGATAGCAATGCCGAACCAAACAATTCAACACGAGTACGAGTGCAATCCGGTGGTTGACGTATAAGTGATGTTCTTCACCTGGCAGATTCCAGCTAAGAATACCTACAAGCTAGGACCTGGCAACTATGATACGAGATCAACCATTCAGAAGTGTGCATCAGGGCTCAAGTTGCCTCAAGAAAATCCCTGAAATGTCACAAGAATCAAACACCCGCTCACCAACCCACACCATAAACCTGAAGGGCTGTGATGTTTCGACAACCCTAGTACCGCAGCCTCTAGACTCCTGGGAATCTACGCAATCTTCTCCTAAGCTGTGGTGCTTCTCCTAAGCCACATGTGAAACCTGGACTCATATCACTTTGGAAGACAGCAACTCCAATGCACATGTGTCACATGAGCATCTATTGGATCTCTCTTCCAAGAATTCACAAGGCAGCTGAATTTACAACAAGGATTCAATCGGATCATCCAAATAATCTGCCGAATCGAGAGCCGTACCGGAAACGCACCGGAAACGCCGAAAAAGAAGCCCTCAACGGAGGATGGAGGCCAACCAAGAAAGGCCAACCAACTGGTCATCCAAGAAGCCCATCTTGCCTAGGTTTCTGGGTGCGGTGTGTGGCAGGTCTCGTTGAACCTCTGCCCATTCCGCGACATACGACTCGGTCCATCCCTCCACACTGATGTGGCTGCGAGTCGAGCTGGGCGCCGGCGTGCAGCCTCGGTCCTCGACGTCGTGAGAACGGCGAAGGGAGAACTTCAAAGGCCATCGAAAGTGCTTGAACGTTAGGCTTGTACGTTTGCTGTTTGTTTGCTGGTCCCCTTGCTTTTCTTCATGTCGCTGTTCTTTTTCCTGCTGCAGTAATGTGTCGATGGTTTCTACTTCTTGGCTCCACATGTGTTGCTGTGCTTTCCCGTTCAATGTGCCTCAATACTATTCAATACTTCTCGGCAGAACACGAGGAATCACTGAGACCTTTCGGTGCAAACGCCAGTCCCCGCACGCCCGCTCGCGCACAGCTCGCGTGCTTCCCTTCCCAATCCTGGACCTGCGTCGGAGTACGGCACCCCGCCATCGCATAAAAGGAATCCTGGCCAAAAGAAGTGAATGGAGACTGCTGAGTGATCATCTCAGCTGCTTAAAGATCAGCTTTTACTCCAAATCTCTCTTATACTTTGACCCGAGGGTCTAATGAGTCTAATGCTGCATCAAGTTTCCAGGTTTTGGTGTCGGTTCCTGGTCAGGAAGAACCCTTACATGCTCCAAAGATCTCGAAGAGATTCCAAAGATAGGCCTCCAAAGGAAGTAAGAGCTCCAAAACCCAGCACCTCAAAACTACAATACCAGTTCGCTGTGCCATGATGTCAGGTTTGTGTTGATTGGGATGTTCAATCTGAACCACCAGGGATCTCAATCCATCCCATGATCTGGGGTCACGGTTGGATTCGGAAACTAAACGGTTGTTTTCGGAAACTAAACGGTTGTATTCGGAAACTGCGACGGTTGGATTCGTGGGATTTGGAAACTGATACTCGGAAACTGCCCGGTTGTATTTGGAAACTAAATGGCTGTATTCAGAAACTGGGACGGTGGTATTCGCAAACTGGAGGGTTTTATTCGGAAACTGAACGGTTGTATTCGGAAACTTGTATTCGAAAACTACAGAACTATATATATATATTCGGAAACTGGTATTCGGAAACTGGACAGTTGTATTCGGAAACTAACGTTCGAAAACTACGAAGAGCAACACCAACACTATTTCCGGAGAGCATCAACTTTTCACGCAACTACCCACCTGTGTTTATTGCCCCCCACCCCCCACCCCACCCCACCCCACCCCACCCCCACAAATCTTGCAGAATACGAGGAACATAGTTTCTGAATACAACGGAAATAGTTTCTGAATACAACGAAATAGTTTCTGTTTCGACTAGTTTCTGAATACAGCGCAGTTTCTGAACACGACTTTAAGATTCCATGATTCTTGGAGTCTTTGCTTTTGCTCGTTCCTCATGTCCACTGTTTTCCACCCCTCTGGACGTTCTCTTTTGGCCAAGGCTCCACGGTCATCGACCCGACACCAGTCGCTTGCACATGAAAGCCAAGCATGTCCTTGGATTTGATCAAGAACCTGATTGTTTGGAAACATCTCAAGCGATTCCCCCAAAAAAATATCAACCCCTCTGCGTTTCGGGCACGTCTACCTCTTCGAGCCCCTTGAATCTGAGCATTTTTCTTCGCAAAATGGACCTGTTTGGGCCAAAAGAACCAAAACAAAAATCCAGCCGTCCAACCCAGGTCTCTTCCAGCAAGATCCAGACCACGTGGGCCGTCACGAAGCCCGCAGGCCAACCGTTGATCCACAAGCCCAGTGGGTAACCTGACCGTCTCGAGATTTCAACCGGAAGAAAGGAGTTCTTGGGAACAAGAAAGGACGAAGAAAATCCAATTTTCATACACCAATTGGATTCGGAGATCCCAACATGCTCCCAGTTGACTCAAGTGACCGGAAGTTTGGCATTCATCCATCTCCCACTTGGGTCCTTCTGGTTCTTCCTAACTGGTCACAAAATTGTTTTATCTCTTTTCCAACTGCTGCTCCAGTGGCTTTCTCCGTCATTCACCAAGTACTTTCGTTGGTCTTCAGGGATAGCATCAACCAAGCAGGTGTCTGCAAGGGCAAAAGCGATGATGCCAAATGCAACCACCAAAAGCAATTCTTTGTTGCAACCCATGCGCCCGCCCATGCGCCAAAACCCACGTGGGTGTAAGGTGTTTTGACGTTGCTGCAACACAACCGCAACAAACGGTGGGCAACATCATGCGTCATTGTGCATGGTACATACTGCGCCCAATCGTCTGGCGGCGGCTTCCTTCGACAGCAATGACCTTCCAGTGACAAGAGTATTTTGAGATTTATTTCAAATTCCAACACCTCTGAGTTGTGAAGTCTTGCAAGTAAATATGAACCAAGTGACATGCAGTCCACTGGGGCCTTCGTATTGAATGCGAATGCAAATGCTGTGGAATTCAATTCACTGAGCACACGCTTGCTTGCTTTCGGAGGGGGCAAAAGGAAATACACTTTTTGAGGGACGGTTTTCGAAACTCAAAGCGATGCACATGAGAGCTCACATGAATTTGATGCTATTTTTTGGGGGGCCACTCAAGCCCACCATGCAGTGCTCTTCTGTGGCTGGTGAGGGTGTCACTGTCAGTTCCATACTCAGGGCCACTTTGAAACCACATTTAGCTGTCTGCTGTCGACTCTTGTTCCCCAGAAATTTACTGGAGTCGTCCAAGTGGGTCAATAATCGTTTTGATCCTAAATCGAACAAGTGCACAAACAATGATGGGAAGCAACAAGGCCAAAACATCCGGCACCAAACAACTTGAAATGGCTCCTGTGAGTTGAGCGTCGCTCGAGTTTCCATCTGGGCATTGGTTTGGCACTTCGAGATCTCGATCCGATAGGAGCCTCTTGAGCACAGCACGTGGCACGCACATGCAAGAAAAAACTGCACGTTCCGTGCCGACGCTCATGCCGTCCATTGTGGAGGCGAACCTCATCTTCCGCAGCAGCAAAAACTTCAAGCACACTGTGTGCCGCGCTTCGAGATTTGACATGAAGAAGTGCTGGACATAAACAGGTCTGTGCAACCGAAACACTGCAATTCAAGATCTTGAAGGTCCTTCTGGCTCACGCAGTCAAAAAGCAAAGCACTTGAACACCTTAATCGTCCCGAGTTCAACACCAGCGCCTCAAGCACTGGACAGTCGAGGACGAGCACATTGGAGTTTTGTGGACATCAACTCACCCGTGCACCGAGTCCATTGGCCGAGCAGCTCAAAGGCATCAACCTGTGACCTTTCGGACAACGATGCCGACAAAGTGGTTCCAAGAGCTCGCTAACCACTTGGTGCACTTCAATGGCCAGCAACACAAACGTCTCCACACCTTTTCCACTCTAACTGAAAGAACAAGATGGACAGTGCTTCGCCCTGCTGTACAGGGTTTTCCGGCTACAATCAAGCTCTGGCTTGGGTTGGGAGTCCATTGCAGTGCGACGGCTCGTGCCCTTGCAATGCGCGGTGCACTTCCAAGAAAACACAAAAACCAGAAACCCACGAAACGCAACTTGACATTCAAGTCTCAATGGGGCACTCCACACTTGCGCCAAGGCATTCCAAGCACACTCCGGAGTTTTTGTCTCCATGAGAGAGCCCGTGGCGCTTGCTGCGCAGGACAGAAGACAGGGTGCTGGGTGCTGGCAGTGCGCGTGGTGGAGACAGCGGGCGCCAGTGCTGCTGGTGGGTGCTGCAAGCTGCCATTACGCGTGGACACTGGGTGCGCTCCAAAACTCGCAAAACCGGTCGCAGAAAAGCGCTGGAAGAAGCAACCAAAGCTGTTCGGGGCGCAAGATCAGGAAGGCCACTCGATCCGAACGGGAGTTCGGACCTTCTGCACGCAGAAGTTGAATCTTTTGTGAAAAGTTGCCTGAGCCCTGAAGTTGATCGAACTCGAAAGTGAAAAGCGTTGCTTTCGTGTGAATGAAGCCACGTGAGGAGCATATCGAAGCTGAAGGGGATTGAACGACTGCTCAGCGCCTCAAACCACTTGTGTCGACGTGAAGTTTTACTGTACAAGGGGGTTTGAAGCGGCCACCACAACTGCAAACGCACGAAGCTTCTCTTGGAGCCACTGTCATGATGACGACAAAAAATATTGGCGAACTTTGCGCCAAGATGCTCAGCCGAGCACAGAAGCTCCCTCTTCCTGTTGCCCCTGCGCCTGAACAGTTTGAAGCAACAACTGACTTGGCTGACGTTTGAGACACTTCGACCCGTCGCAGCCAGAAGTTGAACTGGCCAAGTTGGTTTGAGCCACAAAAAAATCCTTGCGTCAGTGCGTTGCAAGGGAACATTCAAGCATTGATGCTCAGGATGGAAGCAGCATGCGGGCGGCAAGCACCGCAAGAACGTGAGCACAAACCTTAACAACTCAAATCCTCATCCTTCACAACATGCATAAAAAAACAACAATCAAACAGAAATGAAGCAAGTTTTCTTGGCACACACGGCTTCACCGCGGCCAAACCTTCGCTCATCTTCCTTTCTTCCCTAATCCAAAACTGGACCAAAAAAGCACGATGGGTTCACAACCTTTTGCCTTAAGTCCCAGCGAGGGGCAACAGCAAAGTCAAGAGGGTAAATTTGGCCCTGCCTGAGGGTCTACTTGCAGGCTTAGGGTATGCAGTCACTCGGCCGGACAGTTCCTTCCTTTTTCACCAAGCCCTTAGCGCGGCTGAGCGATCCGGAGTCTCCGGTATTCACCAGTGGAGCGTGATGCTCCCGACAAGCGCCAGAGTCTCCCAGGAGATCTATGAGCCGCTCATCGGAATACAATATCCTATGCTGTGCAGTCATCGGCATACGGTAAGGGTCTACCAGCACCTCGAAGACGAGCTGACAAGAGCAGGGGCTGGCAACGAGGGCATCTTGGCCCTCACAACTACTCGAGAAGGAGCCCAAAATCTACGCAATTACTTTGAAATTGCCTGGAAGACGGCTAATACAGAAACGGCAGTCAAAGTGGCAGGTGCCACAGCCAAGCACTGCATTGTCATACATGGGGAGTCTACTTTCCTTAGCGGGGAAGGGCGCAATCTGGATTATGACCAGGAATGTTTTACCCGAGCAAGTGTGGCATATAGCAGAGCCACCAACCTCACCATCCTTGCCTGCCCTTTGAACATGCAAGGAATGCCAGGGGCCTTACAGGTACTTGCTGCCCTCATACATGGTGTTCAAAGCATTGACACCTATGATGACTGGCAACCCGTGATTCGAGGCTCTCTGGACCTCACGCCAATCCAAGTAGAAAAAGCCACCACTGTCTTCCAACAGGCCGTTTTGCCCCACCAATTATGGTCTGGCCCTCTGCCTGCATGCCTCGCAGAGCACCACCAAGGTAAGGCGAGGCGCTTACGCCTCGTCTTAGCCACACTGTCGCATTTGACAAAAGCAGAGATATCCAGCCTGCAGGATGGGCCACATCTCCCTGGAGGCACGACCGAGCATGGGCTAGTCAATGGATATGCGGTCGATGCGTTGTCCACGCCGGAATGGCTTGTCATCAGGCGAGAGCATATACCTGCGGCGCCATTGATCCATCTCTGGGGCAAGCTATGCCTTTCCCATCCCTCCTGCAATTGAAACTGCGCATTGAAGTCCCGTTGTGGAGAAACGTTACGGCCAAACATTCCCCAGCAGACCCCCAGTCGGAAGGGTGGGACACAGATTCTCCTGCAAGTGGATCAAAAGAGCAGTCGCCCAGGCACGCACAGCCGGTGCCAGTAGGAGGCCCAAACAGAAAGCGCTGCAGGCGCACTGGACTGAAAGTGGCCGTGGACTGACAAGGCTTTCTGACGACCCTCTCAGACTCTCCCATGGCTATCCCCAAGTTCAGGAAGACGATCGCCCGTGTCACCAATATGGCCCTATTGTACAAAAAGGACCGGTGGAACCAGCTCTGCGGATGGCTGTCTAAAGACCCCACGTTTCGGAGGAACCTAGAACGCCATAAGCAGCCGCTCAGAGACTAACAGGGGGTCAGCCGAGATGACTCTGTGGCTCGCAACAAAGCCCGGCGTACAGCCCCGTGGTAGCAGCTCCTCATCGGCTTTTTTTTTTTGCACGGGTATGGGCGCTATGTGTGCTGAGAGGCACAAGTCACCGAGTCGAATTCAGAAGGGGGTACTTGAGATGAGCCTGACACCAAGACAAGCAGCACCAAGCCAACACACCAACACCAAAAAAAACCAACCAGACAAACCAAAAAGCCAGAACCAACAGTCAGGCTCAAGTCCGTACGAGTCTAAAAGAGCAAAAGGTGCAGATCCGAGGACCAACACAGTGGTGAAACGGGGCAATGAATTCATATCCAGCCGCTCTCAGTAGAGGACGTCCAGGGCGAAAACTGCATTTTGATGCAATCTGTACATGGGCAGGAGTGTATTCCTTCAGCGGTGCACTGCGTGTGGAAGTGCCTGAGCATGCTGAACGCGAGAATGGGGTGCACTGCAGTTTCGGCTAGGTCCATGCAAATCAAGGCACAGCACAACTTGTGTCAAAGAATGCGTGCACTCAAACATCCCAAAGAGTCACACAGTGACCTTATTTTTTGGTTTTTTTTGCACGAGTGGAGGCGCTGTGTGTGCAGGTCATGCACAAGTCACCTTAGTCGAGTTAAGAAGGAGTTACTAGACAGGTTGCACATAACACGAAAGGACCAAAGCAACCCAAAACCCACCAAAAACAAAAAACAACACAACAAGACCCAAACCGAGTGCAACCTGTAGCGCAGCTCCAATGAGCCAAGAAGGCATGAAGAAGGTGAGACAGGGGCGATGAATTCCGCAAAACGCTCAGTACTTCTTGTTCTTCATCAAGCGGAGCAAGGTGCAATCGAATCAGGGGCAAAAGAGCCCAGCGAGCAAACGGTTGCGTGTGCTGTTGCAAGTACTGACTAGCCATTTATCACCCTGTGAGTGCCGTAGCACCACCAAAAAGGCAAGGATGAAAAAGCTGGGAAGGGTGGCACAGTCCAAAATTGCAGCATTGCTACTGTGCTCTTACCACCAGTGAAAGTGTGCATCAAATAGATCCGAATTGTTAGTGAGGGAATGGCCCTTTGACCAGGGTCCATTCGTCACGATTTGCTTTTTTGCCAGCAGGTAGCCACGAATGCGGAACCAAGGAGGTGCCGTCAATGGAAAACCACGGTCCCTCAGCTCGGTATTTC